TATTTCATATACTTCTATCAAATTAGAAATAATTTTTCCAATGATTGAGCATACAAAATACATCATAATAATAATTTTCCAAAAACTGATGATTGAGTGTACAATTCTAGAGATATCTGATGATTCAAGATACATCACAATCATTACAATAATGATTCTAATGTGCAATAGAGATATCTGATGTATTTCATATACTTCTATCAAATTAGAAATAATTTTTCCAATGATTGAGCATACAAAATACATAACAATAATAATTTTCCAAAAACTGATGATTGAGTATATAATTCTAGAGATATCTGATGATTCAAGATACATCACAATCATTACAATAACGATTCTAATGTACAATAGAAATATCTGATGTATTTCATATACTTCTATCAAATTAGAAATAATTTTTCCAATGAATGAGCATACAAGATACATCACAATCATCACAAAAACGACTCTAACGTCCATCATAAATATCTCATATACTTCTATCCCATTAAAAATAAATTTTTAATCCAAAAAACCTGAACAATCAAACATGAACAAGTGAAACGATTCAAAACTTTGGCAAGATATTCAACTTCCCATTCAACATCCCGTCCACAACAGCCCAATGCCAACTACCCAATTGTCTCACTCATGTTCCAGATGGTCACAAGGATTGCTGTTCCATCAAGCGATGGTGGACTGCGCCCGAGCCGCGATTTTATTGCCCCTAGGTTCGAGCATCCTCAACTGTCAACCGATGACCAAGTGTTCCCTGGTCGAGACCGCGTTCCTATTGCTTGTGACGGTGTCCACCGTGAACATGCTGACAACAGTGCTGAACGACAGCCCGATCTTCCCCGAAACCGACGAGGAGGCGGACCTCGCCGCTCCTTTGCTCATGGACTCGCCCCAGGCAAGCGCTTTCTTCTTCTTTCATTCTCTCGCTCCCTTTTCTCTCTCTCTCTCACACACGTCTCTCACCTTGTTTCCACACCTTCTCTCTCGATTTTTTCCACGCTGCATCGACACCCTTGAAACGAGGCTCGAGCTGATATAATTCGTAA